TAATAGCGGGACATTGATAAATTTATACTCAAAAGGTAAATTGAGAGTTTTCAGGGTGTCCCAAATAAATGTAGATGTTACTAATTGTTTGTTGTCGTAAATGGCTCCATACTTAAATAAAAAAATGAGAGTGGATCTCGAATACTCTGGCAAAATACATGTAACTGTAACGGGTTACTTTTATTTTTGAGTAACTGAAACTCTAACTTAATTACATTGTTGGGGAACTAACTGTAACTGTAACTGCATTTTAAAATTAGCTTACCCAAGACTTAAAAACCGCAAAAATGTCAGGGACGAAAAAGTCTCGAACAACACAAGTCGGCTCTAAAGTATCAAACTACGGAATACTAATAGGCTACATAAAAAAAACAAGGAAAAACCGTTTTTTTACGTTTTTCTTTTTTTTTTTATGGGGGGGGGGGGGGGGGGGGGAGTGAGCTATCTCAGTTTAGTCAATTTAAAGGAGAGGAAGAATGTGGATTTTTGGTTTCCTCGTTCACTTACGCAAACGTGCTAGTAGGAAAGGTGACCTTACACTCATGCCCGAAGTGGGCCAGTAAAAATGGCATATATTCCTAGTAACCCGTCAATTACTGAGGGCAAGACACCAAGGTGGAGTAGGATCGCAACAAAATAAGTGAATATTTCCACTTTTAAATTGAAAACTACTTGCGCCATCTAGTCGCAAGTAGGTGAGCAGTTGAGCTTGAAGCCCCCCCCCCCCCCCCCCCCTCCCCCCGCCCCCCGCCCCCACACACACACATGCACGCACAAAATCGGTGACGTCTTTTCATACATTTTGTAACTTCTGGAGAGCCTAGATCTAGGCACACTAGTAAATCCATTGCTCCGTTGCGCCATCTCTGAAGAGACACCCGAACCAACTGCTCGTCGTGGCTGTTTTGTCTGGCGTTTCTTGCGGTAGATGGCGGTGTCGTTCGCGGACCGATCGATACGGCGGTCTTCGCAGACCGCGTCGTTTCCCGAGGGATTTTCCGGCCCGTGCAATCCCTCTCGTTTTTTCTTATTTTCTTTATTTTCCCCTTCATTTATTTGGCGGGAATGTTTCTCAACTTTGGTATGTTTTTGCTTCGTTAAATTGGCGCGTTGTTTCGCGCCTGGGCGCTCTGGCGCAATTTACGACTCTCTGAACGTTGTTGGGGCCGGGGGACAAAAGCGGAACCAGGAGGGAACACAGCGAAAAGAAAGGAAATAAAGATTGAAGAAAGAAAAAGTAGCGTCAAATAAAGAGTTACGAGGTTCCCAGTTTCAAAACTGCATTCTTTCGCTCCGAAAGAATGTGGTGTATATACCAAATGTGTCAAAGCCCGTTCACACACTTGCGTTTGATTGTGACCGCGATCTTCTGATCTCTTACGACGACTGAACAGAGTACCACGCTGGCGCCATCTATGACGTGATCCTAGAACCATTCCACTGGAACGAAGGTTTCGCATTATTTGCAAAATCAACTGTACCTACTGCCAAAAAAGTTTCCAGCTAAAAATAAAAAAAGAATGGTGCGCAAAAAAAAAAAAAAAAGAGATGTGGAAAGGCCAAGTGTTTCACGGCTACCTGAGAGATGGCGCCAGTGTGTCGCAATGGATTTTGAGGGTTTTTAAGGCACGCGGTCGTAAGCAGTCGCAAGTGTGTGAAGCAGCCTTTAGACAAAGAAAGTAGATGAGGTGCGCGATACTTCTACCGCGAGCACGATATTTGCACTCAGGGAATTTGTTAGCACCAACATGTTCTGCTAGATTCGGGTTGCGAATGGACGCTTTTCGCCACAGCAATAGTTTTTTTTTCTGCAGTTTAATTTTTTTTAAAGTTCTAGCCCCGAAAGACTTGCAACACGCACAACTTCTTGTTCGTGTCGTGCTGTGTAATAGACCAACCTGCCCCTCTGACATCACCTTTGACGTGCGAGAGCTGCTGCGGTGTGGCAGAAGATATGTGTAGAAGTTTAGGTACATATATATGTGCATTTTTGAAAGAATAACGAGCAGTTTTATACAAGTGTGAAAACATGTTATAAGGTTGTATCGTATAGAGTGATATTTGAATATACATATTTCTAGTTTGTGTGATTGATGACATTAAAATAAATGTTATTTTTGTAGTGAAATAGAACGAGGGGCAGTTGAAACTTCTCTATTACATCCATAACCACTCCACCTCGCGCGGCCGCGGGATAGATTGATGGGATGACTACGAGCTTCCTTGCGGCTACCTCCGGCAGTTTATTGATTTTAAGGTATCAACATTTATCGAAGCCACACTCGTGTGCGACTTTTGTCGTGGGACAAATTACCGGGTGAAACAAGGAGACGGTAGGCTCTTTATATCGACCGGAAAATTCGGTTTCTTAACCTATCGCGCTACGACTTTGTGCAGCGTCGCCCACAGATGGTGCATTTTTTTTGTAAAATTTGCAAAGAGCGAACTTACCTGAGGAAAAAGTAAAGAAAGAAAAAGGCTTAGCTCCTATGGAAACGCAGCGACGCCACCGGTCTGCAATCAACACGGCGCCGTTTTGCACGGTAGACAAGAGATGGCGCAACGAACGCCGCCAACGAATGAGCATACGGCGCCGAGAGCCAGCGTTTTTAGCAGACGATCTTTTCGAATCAAAAGCGGCGCGCGTTCCGCAAACGGCGACAGTTGCAGAAACAAAAACAGGCGCGGTAACAACAAGCAACTGCAGTTCCTTGTCTGCTAAAAACGCCGGTTCTCGGCGTCGTCTGCTCGTTCGTTGGCAGCAGTTGGCGTCGCGACCGCTTGCGCCATCTCTTGTCTACCGTGCGAAACGGCGCCGTGTTGATTGCAGACCGGTGGCGTCGCTGCGTTTCCATAGGAGCTAAGCCTTTTTCTTTCTTTACTTTTTCCTCAGGTAAGTTCGCTCTTTGCAAATTTTACGAAAAAAAATGCACCATCTGTGGGCAACGCTGCACAAAGTCGTAGCGCGATAGGTTAAGAAACCGAATTTTCCGGTCCATTTAAAGAGCCTACCGTCTCCTTGTTTCACCCGGTAGTATTGCCAATGACACCAACGCCAAATTCAACTGAAGAGATCTTAATTGATACAAGCGCGTTTTATTTTTTATCTGGCATACGTTTGCATCCGCTTATTATTTATTATTTTTAATAAGAAACACAGCGAAATTAATCTCCAAATTTCGAAGAATTGGCATTTACAAAAAATAAACTCCGATAAACACCGAATTTTTGCTAAAAAAAAAAACACCCTCCGAATTTCACAAAAAATAAACTCCAAAAACACGGAGCCCTACTACACCAATATGCAGGTTGAAAGAGACAGCTGTCTTCAACATCTAAACGTTGCAACTACTGTGGCTGTGTACGCGTGTACAAATACATACTAAGAATGTTAAACTAATATTGATACTGTAACAGCTAGCATAAGTCACAATGCTATAAAGGAGTCGCGAAATGAGGACGCAACTCGGGTTTCCAGCGGCTTTAGTAGCAGCAACCTTTGGGCCGTCAGCAAACGGAAATAGAAACAAAAAGGCGCCTCGATTGAACGGGAGGCCTCTTCCTGTATACTTAAATTCTTTCGATTTTTCTATTCTATATAGAATGTTCAGTTTGTACACGAAACGATTACAGGTGAACGAACAAGACGCGCAAAGGTCAGGCGCGGAAGACACACCTTTCGACTTTCAAAACGTTTATTTCTCGCCAAACTTCCAGTTTTAGATATTATCATATCGCCACTTTTAGACACTGCCAGCTTGCCACTTTTAGATGTTGCCGAGTTTCCGCTTTTGTATGTAGCCAAATTAGCACTTTTAGATGTTACCGGAGAATTGTCGGCGACAGTTTTTAGTTTGGAGACTCTTGACCGTCCCTCTGAATGAAGGCAACGTTTTGACACAACTCGTTAACTAGATGAACAATGAGGTTCGTCAGCAAAGCAAGTTGTGCTCCTTCTTTTTTACTGCTTAATAATATTGGTATCTTTTTTGGTTCACTAATGGAAATGGGTTACACTCTATTGTAAACTGCACAAAAAAAATTCAGTCACTTTACACTGAGAAAAACACGTAAGAATTATAACGAAAAGTCGATCCTCTTAACCCTCCGCAAAAGTTCATTAGAAACATAGAGAAAAAGAAGTGTTTTACAGTTAACTTTCATTTTACATCCTCTCGAGCAGTAGTTACTTTAAGAGGGTCACCAAAGAGGATTCTGTGATCGTCTGTTCATGGTCATAGCTGATTCTACAAAAACAAAGCATCCTACAAATTAAAAAAAAAAATTGCAATTACGCGATGCCAATTTCCTTATTAAAACCGTGATGTAAGGTAGTGACACACCACGTCCTGAACCAAATTTTACGGCAGAGGCGGGTCATAAAACAGCAGCGTTGTCAGCGCTGTGACGATGGTCACTCGTCGGCCAATTGCAAGCCGCTTCTCCAAGAGATTCGGCTTCCGATTGGCCGACGAGCGACCACCGTCACCGCGTTGACACCGCTGCTGGGGTATGACCCGCCTCTTCTGAGCGGAAAATTTTGTACAGAGAGTGGTGTGTCCCGGCATTTCATCGCGTTTTTAATAGGGAAATCAGCGTCGCGTGATCGTAATTTTTGAATTTTCAGGATGTTTAGTGCCCGTAGAATCAGTTATGACCAAGAACAGACGATCGCAGAATCCTCTTTAGTGCCCCTTTAAGAGATGAAATTTCCCAACTACTTTTTAGAGGTATATACAATGATCTCCGTTAACCGTCTTGCGCATTCATTAAGAAGTCTCCTGTAACCGTCTTGCGCATTCACTGGGAAGAAAAACGGTGTTGAACAGCTTGCAGTTTGGCATTGCTGTTGTATATTATGCAAAAGTAAAACAATGTCTTCCGACTAAAAAATGGCAGCATTATATTGCCCTATTTCCACATAACCCTCCTTTGGCTAATGTGAGAGTTAAGCTGCAAAATGCGGGGAATATATTGTGTTTTCTCGCATTGCTTTGCAGGTTACCCTCGCTGCACAGCTCCAAGCCTCGCAGCAAGGATGTGTTCAGTGCTATACCCGCGCCCTGTGGAACATTGCAACGAAGGACTTCCGGTGGTGGTGATAATAAGACGTCCTCGTCGTCCAAGACTCCGTCCTCTAGTCCCTGCCCCGTCTCCAACCACGTCATCAACGCAAATGGTGAGTAATGCAAACTTGGAATCCAAGATGTGTCGTAAATATTCTATATTACATCGAAGAGTCCGTCTTCAGAACGGATGTCATTCCGCGTGTTAAAGCTCCAAACACGTGTTATCCTCCAGTGTTGTTACACGTCGCCACATGCCAAGAAAGTACCAAAGGACGTTATTGGTTCAATTTTCGTACTCTCACCTTTAAAAAAGAAAAAATATAGCTGACCCTCTGTACACGTGCGTTGAGTGTGAAAAAGAAATTATTTTTCATAAAAATAACCGCATGCAAAGTATAAGTGTAGATTAAATACCGCATTCGTTTTAGTTGCGCTAAGTGAAACCGGTGAAACGCAAACACAACCACACACACATGCGCGTGCACGTTTGCACGCACGTGCACACTCACACACGTTCACAAACACAGACACACACTCACACGCGCGAGCACACGCACCGAAATACACATAAACACACGGACGCATGAACATGCACCCATACGCACACACACACACTAGACGTACGATGTACCTCTTTAAAAATACGCTGTGTCATTTTTTCTAGATCATAGCAACGCCTACTTACCTTCATTACTATCTAAAAGCGCCATAAAACAGGAAAATAGTCAAGACGACAACACAAGGTGTCTTTTGGCGCGCTACGAATGAGTAATAAACCAACCAGCCCAACTCATCATTCTAGCTTCGTTACTTCATGGGGGGTGTCCGATACCGCGTAGAATGATCATTATAATACAAAATGACATTCTTACACGCAAGCGAAGCCACACGAGCAAACAAATCCGAGTCATATTTTAATTGATAAACTCCATGTACCCTTCCCACCCTTTGCCGAAAAAAAAAAGTGGGGTTTACGAGCTTCGGCGACGCAGAGGGGCGGTGTCAGGTGTGCCGAAGAGTTGTGCCGGCTTCTCGGCTCCCAATTAAAACCACCTGATCCTAGTCCCGTTCTAATGAGTCGTTTGTGGTCGCAGTCGCTCCGAGCAAATCCGTTAATCCCCCAGAGTTATCGGGTACACCACCGGTTCCTAACACCCAACGTCTCTGAGTCACGCTGGAAAGGGAGTCTAATGATCTTTTTTTATTATTATTATTTGAAAAAAAGATGCGGTACGGCATGGTGAGTTATAATTGGATGCGCATGAAAGTTTTTAGATTGTTGTTTTTGGGGGAAAAAATTCATGCCTTTTCAGCTTCAGTATGTTTTTGGCATAGTCAACGTCCTGTACTTGGAATACAGGTAGTGCTTATAACCCTTGTTAGGCTACCCACACCATACTTTTGTGTGCGTACGGTTGCATATTATTGAGACCGTTTTTTTCAAGCAGATACACGAAGATGCAAATCCGTAAAAAACAACAACAAAAAACTGCCGAAAACAAAAGAGATATTTGATTAGTCATTCTGACTAAACACCAGTCCTGTTGGCTCAGCGGATGCTGCGTCAACCTGAATGCTCTGTGTAGAGTTGACTGATAGGTCCAGACAGCAAGTGTTCACTCTACATACGAGTAAATTTAGTGAGATTGTGAGAATAATGAACGTACATGATTTGTGTAAGATGCCTGTCAATACTAAATGCTCGTTAAAATTGAAACCCAGTATTACGGTTCCTTTTCGGACATTATATACTACAGATATATGTACCCTGCACGTCACAGCTAGTGCAAACAGGACGTCGCCACTCCTTTGCATGTTACTCAGACAAGGCATTGAAGAGAATCAAACATTTTCCCTTATCTTGGTGCCCCAATCAGTTTTTTCCGCACAGCGCTAGGAGTTCTGGCGACATCATTTTAATTCTAAAGTTAAAAAATAAAATAACGGAATCGCTCGTTCGTGCTAAGAGTGTCGCGCAGTCTATGCATACGCACTGAAGAGTTCGAATACGCCGAGAAGGGTCCTTACCTGCTGTTTCTTCCCTCAACTGGCCAGTTTCAAAACGTAATCGAAACTGAATAATAGTGCTGTTAGAGTCACTTTTGAATCAGCGCGAAGCATTTCGTGGTGGACCAGGTTAGTCTCTTTCCAAAGCTGTCGTTATTAACCTGCGAAAAACACTGGCTAAGGCTGATTCATAGAAAGAACTACACGGATCCCAACGTATACCCGTGTGGCCCCCCCAGCCCTCAAATCCCGTAATTCCTCGGGTACTCCCCCGAATTGTTCTCTGGGATCAGGCAGACGACCGAGTCGTAGCAGCTCGTGTGATCCATTTCTTTTTGCCACTCGTTACGATCTACTCCCGTTCTTGTACCCGGTTTTCCTTATGGGGGCCGTTAGTGTATCCTCGGGGCAAGGCTTTATGGTAGGAGGGGTCTTTATGGCCGCGGAACGCCGCCCCCGACCACGTGTTTTCTGGAAGAATAAAAGGGCCTGGCGGAATCGCTGCTACGCGGGCCGTTCACGAGAAAAGAGAACCGTGTTTTTTGGCTCGGGACAAAGAAACTATACGCATCGCAGAAAGCCCGAACTCTGTGAGAATGTGTCGTTAGCGGCTGGGAAAAAACGCGAGAGTTTGAGAGTGTGAAGTTACCTGGATCGAAAGGTAGTTGAGAAGGACGAAATTTGTGCAATAAGCTGACGCCAATGAAGTTTACTTCAAAACATGAAATGACATTGTGAGCGATTGTAGCCTAATTACAGATTGGGCGTTTTTTTGCGTAAATAGGTAAAATCGTAACAAATTTACAAAAAAACACCGAAAAATTAAGGAAAAATTAAACCTTGAAAAAAATACCCCCAATTTCAAGAGAAAAAAAATGAACTCCGAAAACGCAGAACCCTAGTTAAATTATACTGGTTAAAATTTGAAGAAAAAAAACGAGAACAAAACGCGGACAGTGAAGACAATGATATGACAGGATAGGAATGATCCAGCGCCTGTCCTGTAGTCTTTGTGTCTCTATTGCTCTCGTTTTTATTCGCGCGTTTTTACCTTTTCACCAATATTACCTTTCTTGCTGACGAGATTTTTTTTTTATTGATATAAACTTTACATGCGTCCACCATGTCAGTTCTTGTTTTGTCGATATTAGGCTTAGGTGGACGTCAGCTGGCAGACAAATTGTCTTTTCCAATAATCTTTCGAACTAAATAACGTCGTGTTCTCAAATTTACGCGCTCTGCGTAACCAACCACTAGAGGCACATCCTCACGGAGTTCGAGCTTTCTGCGATGCATAGTTTCTTTACGAGACCCATAAACCGCGGCTATTTTTTTTTTTTTTTTGTTCCTGCGAACACCCGGTACTTTATTTTACCTGAACTTGGCAAAGATCGCTACGCTACGTTCCCTTGGAACCAATCAGAGCGACAGGGGCGAAGCACGTGACAGTGAAAGGCACAACGGCTAGAGTGTGACTTAATAAGAAAAGAGTCAAAGTGCAGGCTAGCTGGTGGAAGTCAACCATTTCGTCGTTTACCCTGAGACTTGGGTTTTTTTTAGAAGAGCAGAAGTAACAGAAAAAACAGACAGGTTTTGAGACCTGTCTGTTTTTTCTGTTACTTCTGCTCTTCTAAAAAAAAACCAAGTCTCAGGGTAAACGACGAAATGGGTGACTTAATAGTTGGAGAAGAGGGAAAGGGAGGAAAGTGTCTTGCTCGAACTTTTTTCCTGTGTCCACAACGTCGATTTTCTTCCCCTATACTCGTTTTTACCCCGAGAACCGAAGTAAAAAAAATGCCCATTTCTCGCGGGGCATCACTAACTTCCACCTTTATGTGGAGCATAAAAATATATGTAGCTTCATTTTAGATTAAATAGACGTTATCTTATCAAGACGCGCACGTCTCAAACGGCCAAAGCATCGCTCCTTCCTCCGACAACCAACTCTTGTAAGAAATACTTCGCGTGGAATAGTGACCTCCGCGTGATTTAAAATTCGTACCGAATTGGCTGTCCTCCCTCTCCCGCCCCTGCAGCTTCGACGGTACGGCGCGCAATTAGTGAGGTAGAGTAGAGTCACGTGACTCCGTCCGTCGCGCTGATTGGCTCAATGGGACTGTCGCCTTCACCGTTTCTCAGATACGGTAAAACGGGCCATCGTACTTTTATTTTATTTTTGTTCTTATTTGGTGGGGGCGAGTTTACGGTTTTTGTGCACCGTTCCATGCGCTTGTTTCCGTGGATGCGGTTTGAGCCGCATCGTTTGAAACCTGCGTTCCGCGGGAGGGAAATAAACGCAACGGATTTGATCTAATAGTAGTGAGTTTTAGTGTCGCGTATAAGAGCGAACGCAAGCCCTGTGCGTTTACGTTAGCGTCGCGTGTTCTACACTGCGCGTGCGTGGAGCGCGAACCACGGCCTTGGATTGGCGCATGGCACATTCGCGCATGCGCAGCGTGCAACACGCAACGCTAACGCTAACGCATAGCGCTTGCGTTTGCTCCTATACCCAATGCTAAAGCTCACTAATATCGCTAGCGAAGAACCAGTGGCGAGTAACGATTAACAGTTGAGGAGTAACTATAACAAATAACGAATGGTAAGTAATGGGGGGTAGCTAGAGAGTTACTGGGTAACAAGTAATGAGGTGTCGATTTACCGGGTACCAAGGAAGTATAGGCAACTAGCAATGAGCTGTGTAGTGACGAGGTATTGAGGCTAAAGCTTGATTATATCAACTGGCTCCAGCTGTCAATTTCTTGCGTTATCTGGCCTGCTAGCTCAGTCGGTTAGAGCGTCGTGCTAATAACGCGAAGGTCACAGGTTCGATCCCTGTGCAGGCCAATACCTTTTTTTATTACATAATGTTTAAGAAATGGCTTTGCAGAATGTAATATAGGGCTATTGCTGTAACCCGTGATTTTTTTACACTGTGGTATTTTTGTTAGGTTTACAAATTACGTTACATACCTGTTTCTCTTTTTTTAGAGCGCAGTTCTTAGGTGCCTGTTTCCGGCTTGAGTGGCGCCGCCGTCGGCGTCGAAGTCGGCGTAACCGTGAGCTCACGTGACCACACGTGTCACGTGACCCCCCAGGTTACGTG